AGGGGGAAGGGAAAAGGGCGGAGGGAGGACGACGCCGGTGATGGAGGGAAGGGAGGACAACGACGGAGGGAGGAGGAGATCGATGATGAGGGAGGGAATGGAGGAGCGAGGAGTAGATCGATAGCGAGGAGGAGGGGGAAAGGAGAAGGGCGGAGGGAGGAACGACACCGATGATGGAGGGAAGGGGAGGACAACGGCGTATGGAGGAGGAGATCGATGACAAGGGAGGAGGGAGGAAGAGAACTTGACGAAGCAGGGAGGAGGGGGGAGGTGGAGAAGAACGATGGCAAGGGAGAAACGGGGAGGAGGAGGAGCTGCACAGTTTCCACACAGAGAGAGAGAGAGAGAGGGGCGGGTGGTAACCCACCTGGATATCGCCGCTGCTTCCTTCGCTTCCTCCCAGTGCTGCGACCCTTGGCTCCTTCGTGCTGCTGTTCGCAGCTGCCCGAGTGGGGAGCTGCTTCCTGTTGCAGTGAACACACGAGAAGAGTACGAGACGACGACGACGGCGACGACGAGACACGGCGGCCGTGAAGGACTGCGTGGCTTCGGGGGACCAAGGTCGACTGCCGGGCTGGGGGCCGACGTGGGGCAGATTCGAGCAGGTCAAAAAATGAACTGCTTGGATCTCCCCGCTCTTTTTTTTTTGCGGGGGGATTGGCGGCCTCAAAAATGTCTCTTTTTTTTTCTAGCCGGCGGCGCGAAGTCCCTACCGGGCATACAACCACCCCCCCCCCAAGTTTCGTTTTTTTTTTGGACCCCTCGATTTGCCTGTGCGCAGCATGGCATGCGCGCGCATCATGCGCGCTGCGCGCTGCGGCGCATGTGCGCGCTGCAGCGCATGCCGACGCGCGCTGTTATGGTTTGGACGTAATTGTGGCCAGGTGCATCCCTCCAGCCACGGGCGTGGCTGGAAATGAGGTCAGATGGATCCAGGAATTTCGAAGTCCCAGTGTGAATTCGCCGATCGTTGCTCTATGGTCTATGTTGTTGTTGTTGGTTCAAACAGGACATTCACTCATGAGGAAAGATGCCGACCAGGGGACGGAGTAATAGACAGACATAAGAAGAAAGGGAGGTAGTATAGAAGTAATAGACAGACATAAGAAGAAAGGGAGGTAGTAGACCGGGCCGCGTTGGGCAGGGTACCAGACCGGTTGTTAGGTCTGTGTATAGTGTAGCCTTGACCTGGGAGGGGTAGTAGGGTTGGGTAGGGTAGACTAGAGGTGTTTTTACTCAAGTTAGAGTTGGATGAATTGAAGCTTACTCTATGGCTGTTTTAATGCTCAGGATGCTGGTCTCTATAAGCTAAACCGGCTGATGCTGCCGGGATAACTCCGGGTTGAATTGTGAGGTCCCCGGCCTCGTACTCTTCATTTTTTTTTTTTTTTTACTTTTTTTTTTAAAGAAAAATACTTATATTCCCAACATAAGAGACGAGGCCGGGGACCTCACAATTCAACCCGGAGTTATCCCGGCAGCATCAGCCGGTTTAGCTTCACGTGTTATCTTCCAAACGAGATACAACCGTAACCACTGCCTAAGTTCACTGATACTCGGAGGTTGATGTCACAATTAAACTCTTGTACCAATAACAATCATTCTGTGCTACTAGCTGTTTTAACTGAAAATATTTCCTTCTCAGCAGTGGATACTCAGTCTACATTTATAATCCACAGAACCACACTTAACTACCAGTGCGTACTCTTCATTTCGAAATATAACACGGTGCGTTGGTTATTAAAAAAAAAATAAAAAAAATAAAAAAAAATAAAAAGAAAGAAAGAAAGAAAGAAAGGGAGGTAGTACCGCCTACAAGCCTCCTCAGGGGTCTTTTTGTCGGTGCCAATGATGGAACAATGACTGTTATTTATCTTGCCGGAGTACTATGTCTAACTGTTATACCGCGTGGAACGCTGGGACGCAGCCATTCGGGCAGCATGTGTCATGTTCCAGACAGTAAGCTTGTTAAAGGTCTTCTCAAGTGGGGGACGGTCAGCCTTGTAGATTTGGCAGGCTAGGGCCAGAAGTTGTGGTGGCCCTGACGTTGCATATGTTAGACCTTGGCCAGGGGGTCAGGCGATTAGACACTGCCTGTGATACCTAGAACTGCATTCCTCATACTTGGAAGTGCATTCCTCATATCGGGTTGCAATAGCATGTTAATACCACCACGCGGCCTTTAACGCGCTGCATCAGACGGGGTCCGGGAACCAACGACCGGTAATGAAAAATAAAAGGGGTAACTTCAGTAGAGTCACAAAAACGAGTTTTAATTGCAGTATGGGGCAAGATACAGTTTGCAATTGCACTTCGGGCACCCTACCTGGCCAGAAAGCTGTATACATTGCCCCAACTGCAATTGCAAACTGTATCTTGGCCCATACTGCAATTAAAACTCGTTTTTCTGACTCCCGCGTAGTTTCCCCAAAAAAAAAAAAATCGAATGTTGCAAAAAACAAAACGAAAGGGGACAACGGGGGCAGCAGGGCAAGAGAGAGAGAGAGAGCTGGCCCGCTCGATGTGGCAATGCACCGGCTCTCTCTCTCTCTC